AGGGTATGCCGGCCATGGGCAGCGGGGGCAAGTGGTGATGGCGGTGGCGGTTGACGATGACTAATGGACAGTGATTGACTGTGATCGACAGCTATAGAGGCCGATCGTTATCACCGGGACTTCAATATGGAGGTTACATACAACAACCATATTTGGAATATAATTTGGTTGCAAGCAGAGGACTTCAATGGCCAGTGGTCGGATACGATAGAACGTGGTCAATGAAGTTGGAGGAACGACCATAGAGGCCGGTAGTTATGACCAAGACTTCTCATTATAATCTTGTCTCTACAACAAAAGACTCCGCACATAATATTCTCTAAACTTATTCATGTAATATAGCCTATAAGATTATTTATATGTTTGAATTGTTAAGAAAAAAAACTTTATATGTTTGAATTGTTAAGAAAAAAAACTTTATATGTTTGAATTGTTAAGAAAAAAAACTTTATATGTTTGAATTGTTAAGAAAAAAAACTTCATCTTTCATGACTTATTGAAAATACAACAAATGTAATCTTTACAAATATAAGTGCTCATTTTTTGTGTATTTCATTTCAATATTTAAAATAATCAAAATTTTATATGTTTGAATTGTTAAGAAAAAAAACTTTATCTTTCATGACTTATTGAAAATACAACAAATGTAATCTTTACAAATATGTGCTCATTTTTTGTGTGTTTCATTTCAATATTTAAAATAATCAAAATAAAAAAAAAGTACCTTTAGATTAAAGTAGTAATATACGTATCGAGTACTCTTACTTCACCGATTAAAGTAACAATCATATCAGCAATAATAGTCTCAATAAGAAGAAGATTTTGTCTATTCATCCGTAAGTGCGGATTAGAAATGCCCACCTCGAATATGCAAAAATATTACGTACATAACAATGCAAGCATTTCCGTGGCCGAGTTGTCCGGTCTTTAAAAAATAAAAATGGTGGGTCCTCCGTGCAATATTTGCTAAGTGCAATGTGATCACGCAACGTGACATTATTCATACTTCAAGAAAAGAACAAAAGCCGAGTTCATTGAAAATCCTTTCTTGATCCAATTAAAACTTCCGAATGAAATCAATGATATACTTTGAGATTTCATCAGGCCTCTCCTGATTGATGAAGTGCGCAACTCCTTCCATCACAACAACATCCTCCAGCAATGGAACATCTCTTCTGAACCCACCCTTGTGAATGTAATCCTCCATCCCTTCGAAATGGTAGGCCAGATCCAGATCTCCCACGATGAACTTGGTTGGAACTTTTATCTGGATGTCAGTCCAGGGAGCACTGAGCTCCCAGTTCCTGCATGATTTTACTTAATTAAACTCGTTTCTTCAGAACTTTTAGGAAAGCATGTATAATTGATGAACGTACGTACTTGTCCATGTTACGATAGTAATTAATCCCGCCGCTGAAGCCAGTTTTGTTAAATTTGGTCGCGTAGTAGTTGATATCAGCTTCAGAAAGCCAAGCAGGGACTGTGATTTCCTTACTTTTTATTCTTCTAAATCCGCCATCTTTTGGTATAATCAGAGGCCCTGGATTTCTGGAGGCTAAGAAATTCTTCATGAGCAGAGCTGTATCAACCTCGGCCAATTGAGCTTCCACTTCTCCAACTTCCTAATTCACATTCGCAAAGAAGAAAAAAGGCAACTCATTTTCATTGAAAAACTCGGTTTTTTAATAATTTGTTAGACCAGATGCCTGTATTTCTGTTTAAGGATTACACAGACAGAACAGCAATAAAAACTTCAAAACAAACAGGAACAAATAGAGCGAAGAGGTCACCTGGAATCTGGAAACATAGAAATCATCCCCATAGATCTTCCTCAAGTTATCAACCCGCCACAGAGCCTGGTTCCTGGGCAGGAACGCCACGCTCAGGTTGACTAAAGCCTTCACTTTATCCGGCCTGAAAACGCACAGATTCCACGCTACAATCGCTCCCCAATCGTGCCCAACCACAAAAACCTTCATTGATTTTTTCTCATTAATAAAAAAAAAATTAAATTTTTAGAGGGAGGACAGAGTGGGCTCTGATATACCTGTTCCTGGCCGAGAGAGTTGATGAGAGCGACAACATCGCCCACGAGATGGAAGATAGAGTATTCGGCGACATCGGTCGGCGCTTCGGTGTCGCCGTAACCGCGGAGGTCGGGAGCGACGGCACGGTAACCGCTAGCGGCAAGGGAGAGGATCTGGTGGCGCCATGAATACCAGAGCTCCGGGAAGCCGTGAAGGAGGAGAACCACGGGTCCCTCTCCCTTCTCCGCCACGTGCATCTTTATTCCGTTCACTTCCACCGTCCTGTGCTCGATTCCTTCTCCCTCCATCTCTCTCTCTCTCTCTGTCTCTCGAGCTTTCTCTCTCTATCCATCGGTGGAGCTTTAAGAATTTTTATAGGATCGAGAAAGCTTTCCGCACATCGTGAATCCTGCCTCATGCTCAACTGTCATCTTAACATTTTTAGATTTATTTTGAGATTAAAAACATTATATTAATTTGTCAATTTTTATTACAGCAATCCACCAAGCTGTTTTTCTTTTTTTGTCTTGTTATCTGTTCTCATTCAATTTCATTTATTTAGATTAATTTTATTAATCATTGTAATTTGATGCATATGATTTTTAAAAGTGTTAATTGATTAGGATATGGGATTATTTTTTTAATTTTTATTTAAATTATAATGTTAAATAAAAATATATTTAGAATATGAAAAATATGTATGTTATAATTTTTTATTCAAATCACATAAGGTAATTCATGGTGTGGCTGGTAAGTAAAAGAGTTTACATACAGAGTACCGACTCAAAGCTTTGACTTCATTAACACAACGCCAAGTATATTTTAGTAGACCCTCATTTAAAAAAATATATATATAATTGTTAGTTGAATTAGAAGCAATTTCATAAATTTTGTATACTTGGTTTAATTTTATTACAGTCTGAACGTAGAGTTGTGCCCGGACTCCGTATGTAAATTTTTTTTCAGATTTAAGAGTTTGTTTAAGGCAACTGCGGCTTATCAATAAGCTGTTGTAATTTAGCTGCATCAGGAAGCTGCTGTGGATATACTGGCTGACTGTTTGTTTTTTACGGTTTGAAAACAGTTGTGCAACATCTGTTTCTGGATAAATTATCATTCTACTCATGTGTAGCAATGTTGTTTGTAACATAACTGTCATAATTATATATTTTATATTTCAGAAACAAAAATTCACTTCAAAGCAGTATAAAAATTCAAATAAACTCCTCATTTAATAATGAGTATCAAGATTGTTGAAAAATAAAAAAAAAAAACTATTAAAATTGCAATTAGTAGTATGATAATATTGGTTTTAAACACTAACTACTACTTCATAATCGAGCGGCGTGCATGTAATCTTCCATAAAAATTGCAATTTAAGATATGTAACTGCGACAGAATCGAGTGTTATGTATGTAAACTTTCATAAAAAACGACATCAAAGTAACCTACTCAAGAATCGAGTGGTATGCATGCAAACTTCCATAAAGGGGCCGCACCGCAGCCCGAATTTTTTTTTGTAACATTCGAGCTGATAAGAGATTAAAATAAATTATTCTTATCAAATGAAAAAGTAAAATATTTTAATTAATTAAAATTTATTTCCATTAGATGTGGACATTTAAGTTTTGAATATTTATTTAATAATATATAACGCCATACGATTTTTTTAATAATTTTAAATATTCAAATTAAAATATGAAAACTTAAAATTTCCCAATTCAACTATTACTTTCAGCTAAAATGTAGAAAATTCGACGTGAAGACAAAATAAGAAAAAAATAAAAAAGAAAAGCTTAAATAAATGAGCATTTTTAGCTAGCGCCAACACGTAATCTATCTTCATGAATAAAAATAATCTAACATATAGTTAGAAATTAAGTGAAGTTATAAAGTGTTCTTAATTGAGTTTATTATGAAGCCATAATTAAGGTTCTTAATGAGTATATTCATGAGCTTTAAAAGCTCTTATTCATAATCATACATGTATCAATTATTAAGTTATTAGACATTAACTTATTAATTAGAGTATTTAAGAAAATATGTTCATGCTTGTTCAATTATTTAACTAAATGATCATGAAGGTGCTCTAAAATTATAAAGAGGTCTTAATTGAATTTATTATTAAGCAATAATTAATGTTCTTAATGAGCATATTCATGAGCTTTAAATGCTCTTATGCATAATCATACATGCACCAATCATCAAGCTATTAGACATATTCACAAATTCAACTGAGATATTCTTATCCAAACGTCTTCGTGTGGATAACTTAATCGTTCCTTATAGATTCCTCCTAAAATTATATAATAATGATTAATTTTAACAGATTAACTAACCAAGTTAAAATTCTGAGTTTCTACATCATTTCAACACAATTTATAAAATTCACACAAGATTCAAACCAAATTTTCGAGCTCTTATCCCTATAGTCCCACAACAAAGGAGAACAAAAAATCAACTAAATGATTATGTATAAACATAACTAAAGAAGAATAATTATTCAACTAAATGATCATTAGTGCCATGGGGAATTTTGTGTGCTAAGAAGTTGAAGACCGTAAAGTAAGGATGCTTGCATGAAGATGTTATGTATAAATATTAAAAACTAAGCAGTACTGTTGACACATATTTTTATTCGGAAAACCTAGAGAGGGTAAAAATCATGGAGCTTAGCCCAGTCAATGTTGGTCCTATAAAACTCTGAAGTTCTTCGAATATTCGAATATCATGATTTCAAGCCTTAGCCTCCCTTATATAATGACAAGGCTAGATTTATAGTTTTTTAGAGTGGAGGTATTTTAATTATTTTGGCCAAAGTTTCAAAAAATTTAATCACACAAATTATGCTGAATTTAAATATATTTACACTCTATTATAACTTATAATATTTTAGGAGCGATTATTGCGTGCAGAGAGCGCATGCAGAGCTGCGTGCGCTCTCCAATCACAACCGCGCATTGCAGCTGTATGACAGTGGGACCTGCGTCACAGCCGCGATGCTCGGCTATGATCGGAGAGCGCGTGCAGCTCTGTGTGCGCTCTCCGCACGAAATAATTAGACATATTTTAGAGGCTCAAAACTTGCATCGTCAGAAATTATAGTGAGTTTTTAAGAGTTCCAGGAGTAATTGCAAGGCGCCATTCCTCATGTGATGCAGAAGTGGGCCTTATCTTTCGAGCCATGAACCAAAAAAATTCTTTTCAATTATTATTTTAACTATTCTTAAAGTCAACATGTCGATTGGAGAAAAAAAAAAATTTAAATTATTAAATTATTCAAATTTGCTGAAGAATAACTCATTGTTGACCTTCAAAAATGTAAAAATTGAGCATAAACATAAAAAAAATGTTAAAATAGATATGCATGCATCAAACATTATGCATGCATCAAACATGATGATGCAAGCCAAAATTGAAGGTCTCCGAGCGATTATTAAGTTTTTTTTTAGTATTTTAGCATTGTATGAGACTCCAACACGAATTTGGATGATAAAAGAGAAGTGAGAAGGATGAGATAACTCTGGTTTTTATGTGAAAAACTTCGGAAAGAGAAAAAATCATGGGCCTATCCAAGTTGGAATATTTCACTATGTGATTATGAGTGTATAGATCCACTCTTAATTTGAATTAGGGAAGAAGAAGTTAAAAAATTGTAAAATGACATTTACCAGGTACTGCAAATCAAGGACGACTCACGCAAGTATATGTGATGTATCGTAAGTACTGAGATTAGAGTCTGGTTGTCCATCCTACATGGAACTAGATGGACTCAACTATGAAAAGTTCCAGCCTACAATTGTTACTCTTGGACTGAAAGGTTGAAGTTTAAAAGTTTAATAAAAGTTCTTATCCTAATTTTTGAAAATGAACAAAACCTATGTCGTAAAAAATTTTCTTAAAAAATATTGTCGATTAAGATATGTCACAAGAATTGCCCATTGAAGTGGTTATGTAGGGATTCAAACTTAGCAAATGATTCAATTGTAGGTGTCAAGCAAGAGAAAGCCTTTCTTATCTCATTCCGGTAGTCTAAGAAAGATTGACGATCCATTCGTTTAGTTCTCTAAATCAAATGAAAAGTCGAAGTCAACCCGACTCCCTAATCGATTTTCATAAATTCAAAGGGGATATTACTATTCCAATGTATTTGTGTCGATAACTTAACCGTTCCTTGTAGATTCCTTCCGAAATTTCATAATCAAGATTAACTTTAACAGATTAACTGACCAAGTTAAGATTCTATGAGTTCCTAAGTATTCCAAAAAAAATTATAAAATTTACACAAGATTCACACCAACTTGTCAAGCCCTTATCTCTATAGTTTCACAACAAAGGAAAACATAAAATATGCTCACTAAGAATGCCAAATCTTATCAACATCAATATTGTATTACGAGTAGAAATTATACACAAGAGTCTCACAATTATCTCTTCAAAAAAAAAAAAAAAAACAAACAAACAAAAACTTAGTATACTAATCTCTTCTGGGTCTAGAAAATGCGGATGAAATACAAGCACACTCGCAATCCCACAAACTCACAACCTCTCTTTGATCTTGCTTTAAAACTCTTAATCTCCTTGATAGTTGTGTGGCATTCTCCTCTAGAATTCCTCTCTCAATAATTACAGAAGAAATCAGATGAAAAGCCCATCTAAATTCGTTTTCAAAGCTTTGATATTTCCTCCCATTCAACTCAAAGTCTGAACTGCTCCAATTTCCAATTTCAAGTTTTGGGCGCCTAGTGACTAGCACATAGGCACCAAGTTCTCATTTAAGAACATGATCTGGTGCCTGAGCACCAATATAGCGGCCCCTAGGCGCCACTTATAACTTTTTCTTCATAAGACCAACACCATGGCACCTCAATCTCGTCGTCTTGGCACCCATAGCAACTCTTAGGAGACTAGTGTACAACTCTAACTCTCTATCATCTCAGAATTTTTGCTCGGCCTGGCGCATAAGCTCTAGTAGCCAGTGGCTATATGCCCAATGGCCTAAATTTTGCTCAACTTTACAATTACATCCAATTCGATCCTTGTTCATCCCCATTTCTGCTACAACCTACAAAAACAACGAAATACCTTCCAAAAAGTGCAATTTTATCATATAAAATATGAAAATACAAATAATAATAATTGGTAAATTATCAACACATCATGCAACAATAGTTCATCAATGATAATCATACTTTGATTTTAATGAATGTAGTTCTCAGTGATAGCAGACTGCAATGGCCTTAATTGTTATGAAAGCAAAAATTCGTCGTGAATGTTGTAGATGGTCGCTATAGGTCAGCTTATCGTAGATGTTATGGTTGAAAGCCATGGTATTAGTCGGTCATATGGGCCATAGATGGTTGCTGCAAGAGTGTCAGTTGGTCATAGAGGTCGTAGTAGGGAACTACAAAAGCTGTGAGTCGCATATAAAATTTTC